CCCCTCCCCCTCCCACTCTTCAGAGCACGAAGTAATAACTTGAATCTATTTTCCCTCATGGTAGCCCGGAAATAGCCTGGTGATAATCCATTTATCTTCCATAGATCATGTATTTCTATGTGATTGTGATTTCTGAGGCCTGAAATGTAGAGTAGACCAAAGAATGCTCTCATTTCGCACACATCTATCGGTAGGCAGTCGATTTCCCTCTGATAATTTTCTCTGATAACTGTCAATTTTTCGTTTGTGTGGTCTACGATCTTTTGGATGATGTCATCAGAAAAATATAATTCCCAACATTCTAGACATATTGTGGCTTCTTCGGCAGGTTTCTTGACTCTCCAACTATCAGTGATAATATTTTCCGATCTCCTCTTGGTAACGGAGGAAATTGAGAACTCCAAACGATCGAGTCATCCTTACTGAAGTACAATTTTTCGGGTTCGTCATCAGATTCATTAAAGTCAGGAAAATTCAATGGATAATCTGAAGATATTCCTCCCAAGGATTCTTCTTCTTGTAAATCTGGACGTTCCTCCGGTTCTGCATCAGAATAATCCGTATCCTCATCATCATCAAACTCCCAAGCTTCATCTCCTTCAATATTAAAAGCAGTCTGTTGCCTCGTAGCCATCTGAAATTTATTAAGACACTAAAATTCATGCATTTTTGCTCATTGAATGGGAAACAATCTATTTGCTCTCTCCCTTTTTGTCTCTTTTCTTCTTGGGAATGGCGAAAAACATTATTCTTCAAGGGTTTGGCAAAAAAAATAGCTTGGTATTGATGATATGAGGTGGACAAGACTAGCAATATTCTCTAGTAAAATTACGAGGTTATGGGAAAACATCGAAAAATATTTTTGGGAAATTCGGGGTAAAAAAAATCCCTTTTGTTAATTTTCAATGGACATTACAGTTATGGAGATGATGTAGACTGTGTCAGGACCGGAAGCCCTTCCCCAAACTCAAACCATCATTCTTTAAAATATTTTGTTTTTTTCGCGAAAATAGTTTTCTCCTCCAGTTTCACATATGAGAAAAAATTGGAACATCTAAAAATAGTTCTCAGAATGCATAATATATCGAAAGATATCGAATTTCAGGTCTAGAGAAACATCAGATATCAAATTCAATAACAATTAATACATACCTTGATTTACCATAATGGCCCCAAATCTGAACTCAAGCTTAAAATGAAGTCACACCAGTTAATAAAGTCACATGTCCACGTCACTATTACATTTTGAATGATGTAGATGTATTATGTATACACCGGTGGGAGCAGGTCCGAAAGTGGGGGAACGCTTGAGACAAGCGTGGCAACGCTGCACGATAAAAACCACTCACGACTCTGGTCACCATGCGAGGGAAGTACCGCGATTTCACATTTCTTCCATCTATTTTTTTTATTCTGACCTTATGGTGACTTTATTCTATCCTGAAAAAATATGAGAAATTTCTAAAGACGTTAATGTATGCATTCTAATTTTCTTAAATTTTTCCTGATAATATCCCGTTAGCAAAAAAAAACCATGGGTTGCGGCGTTTCCCTCCAGTGGTGACCAAACTAGGGTTAAGACAAATATAACCTATATCGACTTTTCTTGCCTGCTAATTTGGCGTGGATCGGCTCATATTTTTTCCATTAACTGTTAATATTTTAATGAAAAATGAAGTACGTTTCATTGCCGATTACAGGAAAGATGAAAATTAGTTTCTTTCAATTAACCATTAAGAGGACAGTGAAAACTTAATTTTCTCCCGCTATTGATCAGAAAAAAGGTTACATGTGTTTCATCAACTATTGAAATAATGCTGAAAAATATATGTAATTTCATTATCAATTATAAAATTAACCCCAATATAAATTTCTTCATTAATCATTCACTTGATAGTGAAAAATTAATTGCATGCAATATCAATTACGAAAGTCATCATCATACAATTTTGTTCATTAGCCATTATTATGAATATCAGGCATGAATAATGAATTTAGTTATTTGCCGATGTCCGATCCCTACTCTCAATCATTTATCCCCGACAAGATTAGGAATATCCACATGTTACCTAGAAATCCTCGTAAGCAATTAATAAGGTTTTCCTGTGGAGAAATCTTGAGAGATTACTGGATCTTTCGAACCTCATTAGGTAGAAGAATCTCGCATCAATATCAATTGAGTTAATTTCAGTTAAACCTTCTTTCTTTCTCGTATTTTTGAACTGGGTTCTTGAAAGATAGTCGTTGTGAACCTCCAGATAATTGAAGTATCAATCATATCAGCCGAAAAAAAAAATTTTTGGCTATAGGACGTACGATAATTTGTGTCACGACGGCCGTCGGGAGAGATTCACGGACATGCAGCTAAATGCTGCCTCATAGTCGGAATGTCCAAAATAGATTTCAGGAGGCTTTTCCTATATGTGCAGTGACGTCAAGAAAATAGGCGAGGGTAGGGCAAAACAGACTAGGCGGGAAAAACGGAACGCAGGGCAAAACGGACCCCTAGGGCAAAACGGATGACTGACAAAAAATTGATAATTTTTGTTTTTGCTTCCGAATGGAGCAAATTCGAAGTCAAATTGTTGTACAATTATAAAAGATTGCAATGAGCAAAATTAAGGATGCCAAGTCAGGTCGGATAGTTGTGATATAGTGCATCACGCATTAATTTACAAAATCACAAAATACAAAATATCTAATTAGCCAATTTGTTTTTGGAAGCATTTCCACCTTATGGCGTACAATCTCAAAATCTTACAATCCGCACTTCTATCCTTAATTCGGGTTCTACAGCATTCCGGATATTGTGTATCAATGTTAACTCAATTAGAGCATCTGTAATCATATTAAAATTGTTCAAAGCGCGAAAGCAGATTTAGCTATTCCAAAATTCCCGAAATATTTGATTATCCTGTGAGGGGCAGTACATATTGTTTTAAGGGACCACACTTGTCTCTTTTCTTTGCATTGAAATTTTTAATTTTCCTTATAATTGGATATATTAATTTTTGTAGAGATACTGTAGATGGCGGCAGTGAGAATGCCAAAGAAGTTCTTAGCAAATTCGACATTACACCTGATGAGGACGATCTAAAAATCATTCAATACGTCTGTGCAGTAGCATCAAATCGTGCAGCTCTTTTAGTATCAATCTGTGAGTTGAACATCAACAATAAAGGATCAGTAAAATTCACCACTTTATTTGTTAATTGATAAATTATCGTGACAATAAGTGTTTTCATGATAAATTATTTAAAGACACTCATTGTAGCGAAATGTTTTGCTTATAAAACAACATCTCTTTCTCATCCACTCAAAAAAACATTTGGCTATTCGAATCAATTATTCATTGTTATTTGTGATCAATTTCTTCAGGTGTTGCCACATTATTGGACCATATGAAAAGGGAAGAAGTTACGATCGCTGTCGATGGCTCTCTGTACAAGCACCATCCAAGACTGGAGAGTTGGATGAATCAATATATCAATTTATTGGCACCAGCTCGTAAGGTAAATTGCTGAAAAAGAATGACGCTTTTCTCATAGACACGAATTGTGAAAATAATGATAATGCTAATAATAATAAAAATGATAATAACAACAACAATAATAATAATGAGCCAAATGCAGAAGGCTGTAATCGTTGAGCCCCTGTCTACTAAGGCAGCACGATTCTGGCCTACAGTGGAGGTCACCCTTTGGTGAGAGGGAGCGCTGCTGCAAGCGATTAGGAAAAGTTGGCATCGCTTAACTCACTGAGCGGTTTTCGAGGTGAAGTCGGAACCCTCGAGAATCACTCAGCGATCTTATTAAGGGGGGACACTGCTGAAATTTGAAACTCCTGCAATAAAAAATGGGCCTCCGTGAGATTTCTTCCCCATGTGTAGTCACAAAAAAATATTTTTTCTCTCACCTAAGCCCATCCAAAATGGCGGAAAATTTCAAAAAGCCGAAAAACCCGATTTTGCCCTTAAAAAGTGTAGAAAATGAGTAGAAAGGATTGAATTGTCTTGAAATTCATACACAATGTTCAAAACACTAGAATCAATAAAGCTACCGACGGAAATTCTAATGCAATAATTTTTATATTCGAGATCAACCAAAAATTGAAAAAAACACAAAATACAAAATCATCGAATTAGCCAATTTGCTTCTGGGACCAGTTCTCTTAGTTTTTTAGCTGGTATCTTCGAATATCTTGGAAACTATAGTATATGATCACGCAGAATTCTAAATTGAAATCGATTAATCAACAAATTCGATTTTTCGTATTTTAAGATTTTTTCGATTTTGAGCCGATCTAAAATCTAAAAATCATCGCATTCAAATTTCCGTCCGTAGCTTTGTTGATTCTCGTGTTTTGAACATTGTGTATGAATTTCAAGACAATCCGATCATTTCTACTCACTTTCTACACTTTTAAAGGGCAAAATCGAATTTTTCGATTTTTTGAAATTCCCCGCCAATTTGGATGGACTTTGGTGAGTCAAAATATATTTTTGTGACTACACGAATCTAGGAATCTTCTTTCCGAGACTGAATTTCCCGGACAAAATTTCCCCGGAAAAACTTCCCCCGGACAAAATTCGACAGACGGGATTTCTTTTGAAGTCGCGCTCATATAACCGGCACAAGGAAAGTTAGTGGTGGGGATATCAGTTTAACTGTGTTTGATTTTCAGCTAAATGTTGATTATTTTGTATTCTATTCGTGCCTAAATTCTTAATCATTCAGTCCAGATTCAACTTGTATACAGTGAGTGACGAGGCAAAGAGCAAATTACTTGCTAATATAAACGTTATAAGTATCTACAAGGCAATTGTTGATACTTATAACGTGGAAAATACAAATGACCATTTGAAGAGCATCACAAATATTATGAACTATTAAAGCAAGCAAGCATTTGGATTCATATGATTAAGCAATTTGTTTGGGTCAATGTTTATTGGTTTGATGCATGTTATTAAGTGTGAATTCTTATTGTTTATTAGAGACTGTGACTTTCTTACAACACTGCTGTTTGACAATTTTTTTGTGTTTCCTCTGTTCATATATTCAAAAAAGAAAATGTGTCCGCAGAAATTTTTTTCGGGAAAATTGTGTCCAGGGAAATCATGTTCGGGAAATTCTGTCGAGGGAAAAATCTCCTACTACCTGACTACACATGGGAAAGAAATCTCACGGAGGCCAATTTTTTATTGCAGGACTTTCTAATTTCAGCAGTGTCCCCCCTTAACGAGTATTAAAGAATAATAATAATGATAATAATAATAATCATAATAATAGTAATAATAATACCAAATCAAACCAAACCTGACATTGTCCTCTTTGATTTCGATGAAAAAATTATCTATGGGGGATTCCACGCTATTTCAACAGAGGCTTTTGTCGAGTTACGAATCCGAAAATTTTAAAACATTTATATCTCAATAACTACCCATTTTATGTGAAAACTCCAAAAAGGCTTTATTATTGGGAAAGAATGATTAGTTACTCATAGAAAATCGTTACTCAGAAATAATAAATATTATTGCAATTTTTTAAATAAATAATTGAAAAATCTGTTGTAGTTTCATGAGTTCGACTCACAAGGAACACTACGCAGGTGTCCCCCTTCGCTTTCGATGAAACTTAAATATGTAATAGTGGACCCAAAACTAAGGGACACATATTTTGTTTTAGCTGCCCATATTGGGTTTTAGGGGGTGAAAGTGCTCTTTGAAGTTGACCATCTCTCGGGGTAATTTTTCGATTGCACACATAAGGAAGCTTTTTGAACAACTCTTTCGCAGTGTATCATGAAGGTCACAAGGAATGATGAAAATGCGAATTAGAACCGTCTGTGGGGGGTGAAATATGGAGGGTAAACTACCTTTGTGAAAATTCATTTTTCTCGTAGAAAAAAAACTTTTGATGGAAATCCCATGGAATGAATTCCATTTGAAAAAGTAGAAAAAAAATACAGAATACCTGCTTTGTTTTTTTTTTAAACGAAATTTAAAACTTGAAAAATAGATTTTTCGTGAATTGCGAAATTTCAAACTATTTCCTGTACAAAACGAAGCTTACGGCTAATGATGAGGGCAACCATTGGGACAGGATCTAGGAGTGATGTCGGGGAGGTTAACTACCCTTTGGGGGGGGGGGGAATTTTTTTAACAAGAAAGAAAAAATGTCGATCAGAATTTTACGAAACACATTTCGGTCGAAAGCATGAGACAATTCAAAGCACATCCTGCGAATCTTTTCCCCAAATTAAAATTGAAAGTAAAATACTTTTTTTTTATTACATACAAGTCTTCGATTTTTTGGTACATAAAAAAGATGAGTGATGAGTCTCTGGAAGTAACACTTGGAGGCTAAATAACCTTTCTGGGAGTTACTTTTAATTATATTAGTGAACAGAATTCATTTGAAAGAGTAAAGAATAATAAGAAATATCGAAATTTGAACCCATGAAAATGTCCATTGCTAGTTATATATGAATTACAACCTTTTAATTATCCGTCTACTTGTATCACAGTACCATAGTCCGAACTAAATGGTAAGGATTGAATGAAGATCCGATATGGAAAGGAAACAATGATGGTAGTAATCCCCAAATGATGGAATTCAGAATATACATTGATATTATTATAGAAGCTCAGACCATTTATTCCTTCTAGTATTATGTTCTCAATCAGCATACTTTCTGTTGGGATCAATCTACAGTATAGATAGTATTAGGGGACGTAATGCGTACAAAAATGATATTCTTCAAAAAAATGCAGCAAACAAAGTGATTTTTTGCACCATGAGCATCTGACTACTGCAATATTGGAACAGCCTTCAATATCACAGTGCGGATGAGATGATTGCCCGAATGCAATATCGACAGGATTTTCGAATTCATCTGGTTTTTTAGAAATGTAACCACTCTGAAACCAAGCATAACGAAATAAATTTTGATACCTTGGTGATGATAATTGATTATGGACTAAAGACTGTAACTTTATGATATTGTTCCGCAAATGTAAATTAATATCATAGTCCATTAGGACGACACTATCCGAAAAATGACGAACATAATTCTTCCATATCCTAAAACCATATACGTCAAGGGATTGAATTTTTCCAGTAGTCCCCTTTGGTATCAACATAGTTAATAATTCTTCATCCGGAGGAGTAATTCCTTTCACGACTTGAGGACAGTGTCCGCTCCAGGAATCGATTAACCGTAGACTTCTAGGACCCACGTTTGGGAAAAAGACTTCCTTTAACCAGGTTTTGAAATGCTCTGAAAAATCAAGCACTAGATGATAATCCTAATTATTGTATAGAACATATCATGTTTCTTAGGTCTTAAATATTGTCATACGTGAAGTGAGTTTTCCCGATTTTGAAGCGGTGATGAACACATTCGCAGGTGTGTAGAGATTTTGCTCCACTATTGGACCGAAAGTTCCAGAAGGTTCATTCAAAACCAGGAAGAGAGGTGAAAGTAATTTTCCATCAGCAGAAATCAGAGGTTGTACTGTATAACTATGTGTCGTTGAAGTTATCGATTGTACGACGCACGCTACTTGTTTAGTACCTTCTTCAGCTAACGTTCGCCCTGAATGAATTTCCAATTGGAAACCACTTTGATCAGCATTATAAATGTTTTCTGAGCCATACGTATCCCAATAAGACCGAACTTTCAGGAGGAATTCGTCCGCTTCTTTTTGTAACTCTTCCCGAGTCTCTAATGTTTTTCTGGTGATGAATTTGTTAATCTTCCGGGATGTTATGCGGTATGCTCGTTTGAAATAATACAACCACCTGGAAGAAGCTGTAAAACGAAAGTCTTCGATNAAATAAATTTTGATACCTTGGTGATGATAATTGATTATGGACTAAAGACTCTAACTTTATGATATTGTTCCGCAAATGTAAATTAATATCAGAGTCTATTAGGACGACACTATCCGAAAAATGACGAACATAATTCTTCCATATCCTAAAACCATATACGTCAAGGGGTTGAATTTTTCCAGTAGTCCCCTTTGGTATCAACATAGTTAATAATTCTTTATCCGGAGGAGTAATTTCTTTCACGACTTGAGGACAGTGTCCGCTCCAGGAATCGATTAACAGTAGACTTCTAGGACCCACGTTTGGGAAAAAGACTTCCTTCAACCAGGTTTTGAAATGCTCTGAAAAATCAAGTACTAGATGATAATCCTAATTATTGTATAGAACATATCATGTTTGTTAGGTCTTAAATATTGTCATACGTGAAGTGAGTTTTCCCGATTTTGAAGCGGTGATGAACACATTCGCAGGTTTGAAGAGATTTTGCTCCACTATTGGACCGAAAGTTCCAGAAGGTTCATTCAAAACCAGGAAGAGAGGTGAAAGTAATTTTCCATCAGCAGAAATCAGAGGTTGTACTGTATAACTATGTGTCGTTGAAGTTATCGATTGTACGACGCACGCTACTTGTTTAGTACCTTCTTCAGCTAACGTTCGCCCTGAATGAATTTCCAATT